AAGGGGAAATAATATACACAGCAGCTTGACAGACTTCTCTACAGTTTTATTGTTGACTACATTTCAAATGTTGTATTGTGGGAATAAAAAGTTTACAAAAGATATTACTTTGTCATATTCAGAGTTAGGTATTGTAATCCATAAAATAACGATATTAGACCAACTGTTCAACTCGTTGTTGATTTCCACTGAGCAATGTACCTGTATATCTACAAGAGCTCTGAGTTGAGCTTGTACTCAAATGAGAATTACATTGCGTACTAGGGTGTTTATCTTATCTTAAAAAATATTTTTTGATCTGGTAAAATACTTTTTTACAAAGCTAATGTTAATTATCAAATCGACTTAGAAAGGTTGTGATCATATGAATCCGGTATTAGATAAACGAAGAAAAACATAAATTCTCGACCCATTTAGTATAAATATTTAGCCGAACAGACTATATTCTCCGAATAAAGTAAAACTGCTCATTTTCGTGCTGAATAAATATAAAAAAAAATTAAATACTTAACATTATTTAATAGACAAAGTGACCGAATCAAATTGACCTATCTAACAAAGTTTAGCCAAGATGGATTACATGATCGTGCTGATCCTCTGTTTCCTGTGTATCTTGGCCCTGTGCGTTGCCCAGGTGTGCAAGGTGAAGGTCGATTTCTTCCTGCGGAGCTGTAGAGGGATGTTGGTGTACAGTCAGGGGCGGCTCATGTTCCCCACAGAGGACCCCGACACCACGTCACACACCGTCAGCATGGAGAGCTTCAATAGGACATGGTTAGACGAGGTGACATCACGGCCAGTCACCAGCCTGGACAACAAGACCAGTCTATGCCATAGTCCGGTCTCGTATAACCACTTGACAACAAGACCAGTCTATGCCTTAGTCCGGTCTAGCTTAACCACTTGACAACAAGACCAGTCTATGCCATAGTCCGGTCTAATATAACCACTTGACAACAAGACCAGTCTATGCCATAGTCCGGTCTAGTATAACCACTTGACAACAAGACCAGTCTATGCCATAGTCCGGTCTAGTATAACCACTTGACAACAAGACCAGTCTATGCCATAGTCCGGTCTAGTATAATCACTTGACAACAAGACCAGTCTATGCCTTAGTCCGGTCTAGCTTAACCACTTGACAACAAGACCAGTCTATGCCATAGTCCGGTCTAATATAACCACTTGACAACAAGACCAGTCTATGCCATAGTCCGGTCTAGTATAACCACTTGACAACAAGACCAGTCTATGCCATAGTACGGTCTAGTATAACCACTTGACAACAAGACCAGTCTATGCCATAGTCCGGTCTAGTATAACCACTTGACAACAAGACCAGTCTATGCCATAGTCCGGTCTAGTATAACCACTTGACAACAAGACCAGTCTATGCCATAGCCCTGTCTAGTATAACCACTTGACAACAAGGCCAGTCTATGCCATAGTCCGGTGTAGTAAAATCAACTGGTTCATGATCCTTTAACAAGCTAGTGTAATATAATGTGTACTCACACGTTGCTGTGGTTCCTAAGTTCAGTTGTTCCAGTCATGTTGCTTGTTGATTCAACAAATTTAGATACAATAATATTAGCGTATTGTTATGTTTTCTCTGAGAAAATACAATAATATCAATGTATAGGCTTGCTTTCTCTGAGAAAGGACAATAATATCAAATGATAGTTTTGTTTTCTCTGAGAAGGTAGCCTACTGAGTTTATTGGTTTAAAAATTTAGTCGTTTATTTTCTGTGCGTAAATATTGCGTAAATAATAAACGATAAGTTTGATTGATACTTGAGATAACTAGTTCATATATATATATATATATATATATATATATATATATATATATATATATATATATATATATATATATATATATATATATATATATATATTTATATAGTTTATGGCTTTCTCGAATATTCTTATACAACAATACGGGGGATGGCAACTTGGGATACGTAGGCCTACATGATTTTAAATCTATTTTTAAGTAGGCCTACTAAAATTCTTGTGTATGTAGAATACTTATGTTTAAATTACTTACAATATAATTATTCAAATAAAACATATTAAAATGCTTGATCATTTGTAGGGACGTGCTTTGATTAAATTGTAATCGTGCACAAAAATAAAATACAATTTTACAGTTTTAGTCGTTTTACAAATCCCAAGTTTATTGTATACAGAATATAAAGGGTGCATTAGTAATTAGACATTTGGACGTTTTACAGAGATAGCCGGTAACAAGAATTGGAATATGACTCGATTTCAGCGAGTACACAATAACTCGAGTACTGTTAAAGTAAGGTAGACAAAATTTCAGATATGATATTTTATACTTGGGTTATTCTCAAATTTTGAGTGACTTCCGATATCTAAGAGTGACATTTTACACTATTTCCAGTCTCTAAGTACAGTAACATAACTAGGACCTACGGATTCAGATAAGTAAACAAAAATTTACGCTTATGTATAGAATCTTATTGTTTTGATCCTCTCAAGGTTTGAGTGATTTCTGGTGACCGGAAGAAATAGCAATTCTATTAGGCCGATTTGTTTCAAAGTTTTCGCTGAAGTTAAGACTAAATGACAATACACCGTGACATAAAATGTGACTAGCTAGCTTTTTTTATTAAACATTTTTAAAATGAATCAAAGTAATTGTTATTTTTATGTATTGGGGGTCATAACGTATAAATGACGTCACACTCGTAGGGGGGAGGGGGGTCCGTAATTTTGTGACGATATGTGATGAGGGGGAGGGGGGGGTCAGATGTTGCGACGTCACACTTTTGCATTATAAAAAAGCAATGCTAGAAAACGAATTTTAGATAACTGTTTTAATAAATTGAAATAGTTTAGACAAGATTTTAGAAAAATAACGATGTTTAAAAAAAATTCAACTGCAATTTTGAGGGGGGTAAAGCAAAGAGCAGACCTACGCCCAAGACTCAATAGCCTAACAGATTATGTGATAAAAAATATCTGACCACTGGAGAAAATTTCAGTGTAATCTTTGTAAGTCATTGAAACTGATTGTATATTGTGTGTATAGCCGAGCAGTACAAAACTTGTACTAGTCAGAAAATGGGATTAATTTTTGTTGTCTGTAACTTATAGTATAGGTTTTAATCCTCATCAATTATTTATAATGTATTGCTATTTATTTCGCTGCCTATTTCTTCCTTATATATTATATATCCCACATATCCTGATTGTTCGACATGTCCTACAGCTTGTCATATAATGTATGTCCTACACCTGAGTGTTGGTATTATCAGTTTTCTATCAACATTATTAAATATTTGTTGTAATGATAAATGTTAAAATTGGTGTATATATTTTCCATTTTATGCTTAGTAAATCCTGATTGTATTTCACTTATCATAATTTATGTATTTCCGTATGGCCTTGGTTCCATATTTTATTTTATGACAGCAGCTTTGTTCTTTAAAATATTTGTCTTTATCTTGAAATGTATTTTTCATTTGAAGTACCTGTGAAGCTCAATTGTAAGTTACACACGGGTTCCACGGTTATATGTGTGGTTGTTACCACAAGACATGTGTGGTTAATACCACAATAAAGGTGTTGTTGTTACTACATGACATGTGTGGTTGTTACCAAAGGACATGTGGTTGTTAACACAGGACGTGTGGTTGTTACCACTTGTTACCACAGGATATTTGTGGTTGTTACCACAGGACGTGTGTGGTTGTTACCACAGGACATTTGTGGTTGTTACCACAGGACGTGTGTGGTTGTTACCACAGGACGTGTGTGGTTGTTACCACAGAACATTTGTGGTTGTTATCACAGGACATTTGTGGTTGTTACTACAGGACGTGTGTGGTTGTTACCACAGGACGTGTGTGGTTGTTACCACAGGACGTTTGTGGTTGTTACCACAGGATGTGTGGTTGTTACCACAGGACGTGTGGTTGTTACCACTTGTTACCACAGGAAATGTGTGGTTGTTACCACAGGACATTTGTGGTTGTTACCACAGGACGTGTGGTTGTTACCACAGGACGTGTGGTTGTTACTACTTGTTACCACAGGAAATGTGTGGTTGTTACCACGGGACATATGTGTTTGTTACTATAAAAGTTTCTCAGTAGGGAAATGTGATGATCACATTTTTGTTATGTCTTGTTAGATACTGTTGTGTCGCCAGTAAATAAAATACAAAACAACTGTAAACAAAACTCTATTGACTCTTGGCAAATAAAAATTTTCTTTCTAAATTAGTTTCCATTTTATATTTTTACACTGTTACAGAATATAAAGAAAATCAGATTTAATTAAATATTTCCCAGTCATTGACAAGGCATTAATATAAATAAAACTCAGCTCTTTGTTTTACCATTGCTACGTGACACCTGTCTTTGTTCTTGTCACTTGAAACGGATGTAAATAAACTATTTTATTTTCAACTTTTAGTTTATATTGCAAAAAAAAAAAAAAACAACATGATGTCTTAAGAGGGTGAGATCAAAATTTTGAGTTTTTCATCTTTTGTTTTGTTAGTTATTTCTGTCATGTTATATTTTTCTGAACATAAAATATGACAAAATAAATTAAATTAAATGATATATTACAATTCCATGCATAATTTTGTAATTGAGTATCTTGCGATAGTTTCTGTGTGTTCTCTGTATTTTTAAAACCAGATTAATAATTTTATTGAAAGAAAAAAAAAAACAACGGAAGACAAGAATAAAAAAAAAAAGGGTAACATGTAAGCTATTAAAAAAAGACTATTATTATTTATTGATTAATATGTTGGCCATGCCAGATCGATCTAAAACAATTTAAAATACATCCATGTAATCGGGTATGACATTTTTAAAAACAACAAACGAAAATCCAAAAAAACCATTGAAAAAATAATATTGGAATTTCCATTCAATGATTAAAGAGGAATGATATTAAGGAGGAAAATCCCCAGTCTAAAAATAGTAAAATATGTAATAATATCGTCAGGATTTCCCGAACGCACAATCATCCCCAAGAGCAGACTTGAAACCAATTCAAGAGAGACCTGGTCAACGGTGTTGTAAGAGTAAGTTAATCTGTTGTTTTTTTTTTTTTTTTTGTTCAGCTTTACCACTTTAAGAAAACGTTTAACTTATACGAGAAAATCTGAATAACATTATGGAACTAGATTAAATTTGACTTTCTTTGATGAATTTTATTTTTTGTTTGAGTCCATGTCATCCACACCACCCCCATCTCGCCCCCACAGAATTGTTATTTTTAGAACTCTTCGTCATCTGTCGTGTTGACATTCCCGTTGGAAAGGAATAACTATTAATCTAATTTTGTTACAAGCTTTAAAAATTAACTTCAAATATTGATTTTTTTTTTAAATTGCAAAAGTGTTGCGTCCAGTTTTTTTTTTTTAAATAGCCGTTATCCCCTACATCGGCACAAAAGCCCGACCCCCCCTCCTCCCACTATGAGTGAGCGATCGCATTAACCATTAGCCATATGAGCTAATAAAAACACTACGTCAGTTTTACTCAAGTGCAAAACAATTTATTATTGCAATAACTAATTTGATTAGACTACACATTCGTGGAGAAAAATTATTGGAATATTCGACAGTTGTTAATGGATCTAGATCTATATAGATCTAAATTAGTGTATTGTTATCTGTCGTAGATTTATAAAAAATCTTTTGAGACATTATTTTAAGACTTATTTTAAAAAGGCTTTTGACATAGAGATCTATTATTTAAAGATTTAATTATAACAACACGTTTTAGACTAGATCTAGATTCTTCGTTTCATCTTAAAATACTGACGTGTATCTGGCTAGTATTGATGCCTTAAAATCTCGGCGTAACTGCATTGAACAAATTATTTCAAGAACTTTCACAAAAAATCAATTTTTCTTACGTTATCGTAAAATAAAGTCTAGACTCTACGTGTGCTGCATTAAAAAAAAAGATTTAGATTCTAGATCCATATCTACACTACAAAATACCAAAAACAACAATTTAGCTATTTTGATCGATAATTTAAAAACACGATATTTACAGTATCGAATACGTTGCCACTGCCGTTTGCTTGCTTCAGACCTCAGCAGACGACAACAGACAAGAATATTAATTAATAATTAATGTTAGGTTTTCAAAATATTTAGGCTAGTATTTTAATTTTTAATGAATTGTGTGTGTGTGTGACAAACGTTCAAAGATACGGGTCTAGATCGAGACACAACTCAATCTTCCGTTCCTTTACTCTAGATCTAGACTGTGACTAGATCTAGATCTAGTCCTTATTTATTAATTATTTAATATTTATTATTATATTTAATGAAATGGACACCAGCGAGAAAAGTCTCAAAGGCAAGGTATTTGAGAGGTGTATAAGTTCATTTAAAAATCATGCACAGCGTAGTTACAATTAATATGGTTATAAAATCCTGTCTATCTGGTTTTTTTCGGACTTTACTAAAGATTGGACATATTTAATGTTTTTAATATTTTCGGTAACTAAATAAAAATTTAAAAAAAAAGCAAAAACAATTTGGTTTTCACGTGTAATGGCGACATAAACAATGGCATCCTGCTATTGGATAGGCCGCCATTGATTTTATTGTACACATTGTAAGCTAAAAATAGAAAACTAGGTTTTTAAATTTGCATTGTTATTTAAAAACTTGATCTGCAAAGTTTTGTAAACAAATAGTTATCGATCACTAAGTTACTGTACAGCCAATCAATATTTGTCTTACGAAAGTGAAACATCCGGTTATTACTTAGGCTTGATGAAAATAAATAGAAATGTAGCCTTAAACTCAACAAATTATTTTCAAGTTCTCTGGATTTGCAACTTTTATAGCATTTATTCTAAAAATATAAAATTTCTAAATTAATTTTAGGCTTAAGTTTTTGTTTTTTATTTTTTTTTACGGTCTAAATCTAAAAAGCACGTTTTTATTCCATGTCAACAACATTATGGAAGGAATCTCGTCAACTCGCTCGCCTCCATTTAAATATTTAGGATTCTACCCACAGGCCCACATCACTCTGATACATACTGTCGTACAGACAGTACACTTACACTAGAGTCTAGATCTAGATTTCTATCTAGATTCTTCTAGATCTAGATTAGTCTAGAATCTAGATCTAGATCTAGATGTAATTACTTTGAGTACAGTCAGTCTCTTACTCTACTTACTAAATCTAGATCTAGATCTCTACTACTACTATACTATATCTAGTACTTCTTACTACTACTCTACACTACAGTTAGACTACAGTCTACTACTACTACAGAATCTAGCTCTAGAATCTAGATCTAGTCGCCTAGAATATAATTAAATTATAATAATTGATAGTTCTAGATCTAGAATCTAGATCTAAATTATTAAATGTATCTGAATAATCTAGATCTAGTCTAGATTAGATAGCAAGATGCAGATAGGATCTGAATAAAAAGGAAATAATATTACTAATTAGTCACTCAAGTCCAGATCTAGACACTGTACTGTAGTTGTAAGCTACTGCACAGCTGTTAGACTTAAATTTCCAGATTCTATAATAACTAGACTCTATATATAGAGGCCTAGACACTACCTATATAGCTATTTTCTGCATTAATAGGCAGGAAATCCCCCAGTATAGTGTTGGAAATTATCCAGTAATGTTTGTTAACATTAGTATCTGTAAAGCATGGCTTATTTTTACTGTTGAAATATAATAAATTCAGTGTACTAAATTAATGTTTAAACTTAACTTAAGTTTAATCGACACAGAAATAAATAGGTCCTAGTTATAAATATAAATAATAAGGTCAAGTGTAGTGTGTAGTAGTTAGTTTAATGTTGACAATGTTTTTTTCTAAAACACAGAAATAAAATCTTGCAGAGGATTTCCAACAATCAATTTAGAATTAGATCTAGATTTTTAGATCTAGTAAAAATGATTGCGCAAATATAAAAATGACTAATAGTAATAGAACAATGTTTAGTAGCAGCAATAATTATCAAAAACTCTTATAAATAATTAGCAATACAAAATGATTAGTAAAACAGTATTCAACATGCAAAAAAAATCAATGTATCCATTTATTTGAATGTTCTGTAATAAAAATATAAAAGATGTTACAGTACCTCTGGTACAGCGTAACAGACTATGCTTTGTTTTATATATTGTTTTTTAATTGCTATACCATTCCAAAATTATAACCTATGCTAAACAGGGGGATTACTAATAGGCCTATATATCTATCATATTTATTATATTACAACACTAATAAATCCAGTAGTAATTAGACATGGATAAAGATTATATCTAGATAAATATATAGAATCTAGATCTGACTAACTCTATCTATTCTAGAAATAAATAAATCTAGACTATAGGCTAAACACTATAGTTTAGCTTACATTAAAAAAACTATTATAATAATTTAGGCCTGCTGTGAGGGCATCAGGAATCTCATAGAATACACTAACAAGACATTAAGTTAAGGCTAGGTAGAACAGTCTCTTTTATTTTCCTCAATCACCTTTCCAATTCCACATCAACCTGTCTACTTTCACCCCAACCTTCAATTGTCCTCCACATTCATCCCTACACACCTCCTTTCTCTCACTCTCAACACAACCCCTGTCACTCGACCAGTCGCTTCCCTTGTACCCTCGTTCACTCCGAACAACAACAAACATGTCAACATACCCAGCCTCACATCTTGCTATAGGATACTTTCACGACATACACAGTGATCCATCCCACGTATACACCTTTTATACTCACTACATCACCACACCTGCTAAATTTTATAAAATCAAGAAACCAAGTTAGACGTCAAATTAATTAGAGTTTAGACTAGAGCATACACTGTTAATCTAGATTTGTTAATAGATGTAATCCTATATTCTAAAGTTATGAAGGTATTTAATACTATGCATATCTTTTTATCAAGGTGTATGAAGGAGAAACATGGACAGTGAAATCACCCTTCAATATGACTATAAAGACATAATTTTGTTATTCAAAGAATCCAATTAAAAAGCTACTTGAGGTTTGTGCTGAAGCCTGCATTTTTTTTATTCATTCAATAGAATTTGATCTAGCATTTTAATAGACCACATATTTTTAAAGTCCACTTTGATTACTTCTGAGAAAACGTTAATGATTTTGTGTCTCTTTTTAGTTTAAATTTCAGAATCACATTAAGATGTGTTTGAAACTAAATTTAGCCATTATTTAACATTTAAAATACTTTTTTGTAAATTGTAATATAAGAAATATTCTAACCTTCAATAGGCTAAGCTTATTTTAGAATAAAATCTCTTAAGAATAAAAAATATTACAAGGTTGAGATGTGATATCATTTTAAGGGGGTGGGTGGAGTTGGAATCTGACATGAAAGACAATTCACAGAGGGCAGATAAAATTATTAAATTTAAAAAATTATTTAAAATGTGAGACATTTAAAAGCTACAAATTTAACAGTGACATTAGCTAAAACTAAAACATAATTTATAAAAGAAAATCAAAAGTAATGTAAGTTTTAAGATTATGTACTTGATTTTGGTATAGTTTGCGAATGTGTTAAGCTACTTTTTAATATTGTATAGGTTAAAAAAAATTCAAATTTGATATCGAACAATATACACATTTTTTTTATCTAGGCTAACATCTGATGTAACCGTTATTTAAAGTATGTTATTTAAACTAAAAAAAATGTTATGTAATTTACTGTGATACAATGTAATGTTGGGTGAAGTAGAGTTGAGCTAATTCAACTCCAGTTGAATTATATGACCAGATTATGTTAGCACCACACCAAACTGCCTTCACATCATCACAATAGAATGTGCAACTAATCCTTAAGGTTGACTTAAATGATGACAAGTTTTGTAACAAAATCATATAATGTAAGTTTATTTTACAATAATTTTTTTATTGCAGGTAAAGTTGTCAGAGATGGGAAATACAGGTGGGAAGAAAAGAGAAAATCATTTGGCAGAGAACGGTAAAATAAATGTTTCTAGGCAACATGTTTTGTATTTGCTGTAAATGTTTAGAACATCCCAGTTGTTTT